CCTTTTTTTGGTCCCCAATGGTATGGATTGCGCTTAGCATATATCAGGAAAGCAATGGGGGCTATTAAGTTTGGGTTTTCCATGGCCAGATTTGTTGTGTTGCAGTTTATCATTTTTCCTTTTCTAGTGTTTACAGTTATTTAAAGTTAAAAAACTAGGCTTAAGTGGAGTTTTCATGCTTCTAAACCATCCCTTCAGATCTTGTTGCATTCTTTGTGGGCTTTTATTTATTTATCTATTGCATTCTTTGTGGGCTTTTATTTATTTATATTTAGTGGGGGAGAGTGGGAAACGTATTCTAAACATCAAATAAGAATATCTTCACCTCTTACTTTCACTAATAGAAAGCATAGATTAGTGATATCCATTACTATGAAGTGACGTATACATATTCGCCAATAAGTTATATTATCAAGTACCCTATGAAGAGAGGTTATATCGACCAGATCAAACATGATCTGAAATAAGACATTATTATTTTATGCATAAACGTGTTATTTTTATTTTTATTTGTTTTTGTTTTAAATTTTTGCTGCCATCCAAATAAGTTATTCATGGATCTGTCCTTGTGGGGGCATGCCATTTATGGGATACAGATGGCCTAACTGTGACCAATTTATCAGATACAAACGAACTGTCATCTTTTCCTTGAGCAATTCACTTTAAGCTTGCATTCAGCTGTTAAATGCCTTTTCAAATGAATTTCAGATCTTGTGCCGATGAATATGAAAGACACCACGAGATAGCTGCAGCTGCCTTGGCACATAAATGCATGGAGGTTGCGTATATGAGAGTGGCTTATAGTAAACATTCTAGTATAAACAGGGATCGAAATGAATTGCAATCAACTCTACACCGGCTCCTCAAGGTAATTGAATTAATTGTGAATATTTTGTAGTAACGCTTGATGTCTTCTAGTTGTTGATGCATGCCGATTTTGCAATGTCTTTTACTTGAACACTTCTTCTAGCAGTGGATTTATTAAAGTGATGCATCTGCGCATCCAAAGTCCTCCCCCCTCTTCTACAAAATTTGGTATGTTGAAAGCTATGGGGTGTCCTAATTGAGCAACTAGGTGTCCTAAATTGCGCAACTAGTTTTGATGCTCCCTGTGTATTATTATTTATTTGATGGATGCATGCATCAACAGTGATTCAAGTCAGTGATGTGTCACTGCATTTTTATTCTTTGTTTTAGGTGAATCTCCTTCATCTTCTGCATCAGATGTTGATAACTTGAATAATCAGGCAGCAGCGGATAAGTTTACTTTGCTCAGGGGTACTGGGACTCATGTTGTCAGTAACCAAGTTATATCTGCTCGACATCGCTCAAAATTTGCCCGTCTTCTTGACTTTGTAAGTTAAAACTTTTATTGACACACACTATGGGTTGTTAGAAGGTTTTGTCAAGTTTCTTTGGTGGTTAAAAAAAAAAAAAAAGGAGTATTGCAACTTTTATTGGGATCAAATGGGATCAAATGCAAGGAAATATAGTTGTGTGAGATATTAGTGTTTGAGAAGAAATCAATATGGAAGTTCAGAATATGTTCCTTAGAAACAGCTTTCAGTGTCAGGCAGATCTCAGCCCAAACTTCTATTTCTTGGAAGTCATGCTATTTACTGAATGTATACTTATAGAATGATAAGCTGGTTTATGCTTTTATCATTCTTATTTTTTCCCCAATAATAAGTACTTAGCCGCATAGTTAGCGAGTTTCACTTATTGTTTCCATACGAACATGAGGCTTTATTATGTAGCTCGATAGTTATAACTTCCTCTGTTTAGTCACTATGGATCACAATTAGCCTGTGATTTTGCAGACTCAGGATGTAAATTATGCAATGGAGGCCTCTAGAAAATGCCAGAGTGCTTTCGCAGGTGCTATCATGATCATGGAAGAGGCACGGAATGGGGACTGCTTAACTTCTATGAGGAGGGTAATTGATTTGAGCTTCCAGGATGTAGATGAGCTTGTAGGTCTGGTTTGGACTGCAAGAAAAGCCATAAGTCGCGCTCATCTCAGTGGTGCTAGAGATTAACTTGATACTGTATATAATGTAAGTTTTTGGTTTGGCTTCTCTACCAATATGGCATCCGGAAAGGAAGGGGAAAAAGGGCATCTTCATAGGCTGACACTTTGAAACCTGCGAAGAGGCAGGTCGCCCTTCTGTACATGTGTACAAAATGAGATTGATTAGCAAATTTTGTAATCTATTTTGAATTTGCTCAGGTTCTTCTTGATGTGGAATGGGCACAATACTCTCACCCTCAAATTTTTGTAGGTTAGGAAGGGGGATGAGATTCCTGCTATTTAACTGACGCAGGATGCTCATTTTATTATAGTTCTATGCTATATTCTTTGCTCCACTGAGTTGGAGCCCAGGAAAATAGAGTCTGGAAATGTCAGGCAACAATTTTTGAGGGCATTGAATACTCATATAGTTATAATTGGTCTATTTTTTTTATACAAAAGAAATAGACTCTATCATCTTATGGAATTTTTGAATAGATCGAATTTCTTTCAGAGAGTTTCCTTTTGCCTGTGTGTGCGTGTTGAACCTTTACTTTTCCATGCCAGCTATTGGCTTTGAAGAAAGTACACATACAGGTATCTTTTTCCTCTTCATGGCTTCATTTATAAATCCGGGTTTCGTGTCTTTGCTTTACGATTTATGTCCCTCTATCTTTGTAGGTCATACTGTTGATAATTGGATTCTGCTTGACTGTTTAAAAGGATACCAGTGTGTTTATGCAGGGCATCTTGTGCAGAATATTACTGCAAAAAAGCTTGGTTTGCCATAATTTTATTTTGATCCACTTCTTTATTTTCTGTAATCTTTTCATCTGAACTTATTAACATTGTTATTGGTGTGAATTGCAGTAGCTATCTTTTCAACTTAATGCTGCAAACTGCATTAAAGCTTTGACGAGGAGGCATTGAAGTTCTCTATCTGTCAGCTTGTGCCTTGTATTTTCACCATTGGATGGGTAAATGAATCTATTTTTATGATTTTCTTGTGGTTACGGACATCAGTGTCCTGTTTTTCTTTGATTAACGAAGCTTCTGCACTCCTGATTGTGTGGTTATCTCCGGTTTCAGCATGTTGTTTCTTTTGATTGGTTGAGCTGGTTTCATAGTCCTACACAGCCATGGCTCTAGAAGAATCTTCTTCCTGTTTGATCCGCTTTACTATTCAGTTTTCTTTTCCTTTGTTTTCAAATTATTTAGAATGACTGTCACCAAACACAAAAAAAAATTATTTAGAATGAGAATAATTTTAATTTTTCTTGATTTGCTCTGCTGGGAATCTGATTGGACAAGATGGGGCTAAACTGCATTGAACTCTGGTTTCCACTGTTAGAATGTTTTGCCATACTTTCTGTATTGGGAAAATTACATTAAAGGATGCGAATTTGATAAAAGATCAAATTGAATGATCTCAAAATCCGTAATCATTCCCAATGATCAGTAGTTACTATTAGATTTTTGGGATTTATTATAAGGTTTGAAGGCCACTTAGGAAAGTGTTTTTTCTTTTTTTTTGCTAAAATATAGGTATCCTCTTATTGGAGGCAATCCTATTCGAGGTACTGTCGAGCACTAAATGTGGGTACCTCTCCCAGCAAGGATTCGAACATTGGTTCACCATGTTGTGAGAGACTAGCCCCTTCTGCTAGACCCAACCCCTATTGGTCACTTAGGAAAATTACAGTAACTCTGCTGGTAACATTTCTAACTTTGGTATACATGAAAGGAAGTTCCTGAAAGGTAAAATGAGTGAGAAAATCTTTCCCAGACATGTTTGGTTCAACAGATCTTGTCTTCTTAGGGAACCATGCTTCCCTCAAGGAATTAGGTCTTCTCCCTTTAGGTTATGGAACTGGGTTTCTTTCACAGAATCCAAAGTTTGTCCCCATTTTGCCCTGAGTTGTGAAATATTCTGTTCATCGGTACGGTTTGTTGCTAAAGCATTGAAGCCGTTCGGGATTGTGTTCAACACCACCGAATTCAGACCAAGCCCTTGCATAAATTGACGCTGCTGTTTGCATGTTTTTCAACTCATCTGGGTGTTGTACTTGAAGCCATGAAGCCTGTGGCCTTAACGCCTTTATCCCTCTCCAGATCCATCCGACGATTTTATTTCAATCATATTTTTTTTGTGTAATTTTGACGGATAAACATGTAATTCTTTTACATTATTCTTCCTTTCCAATTTTTTCATGCCTTCATAGTAAACAGTGCGTCTCTCTTCCCTTCCCATTCGTAAATATAAAGCATTTTGGACATGTAAGGAAGGGTGTCATGGCGGTTATTTCTCCTTCTGCTTCCTCATTCTCCTTTTTTTTTTTGGTAGAGTGCTTCCTCATTCTCCTTATTCGTTTTTAAATACTATCTCTGGTTTTTTATATAAAACTTTTTTTGAATTTTATTTATTCTATTTATTTATTTATTTTTTTAAAATAGTTTTTAAAATAATAATAGTTCTAGTAAATAAACTTGATTAGCAAAAATATTTTAAAAAAGATAATACTTATTTATTATAAATAATTAATTTAATTTAATTTTTAATTTATTTAAATTAGTTAATTAATTCTTATATTTAGGACTGAAGGTAGTATAAATCCTTCCAACCAAATATGATCTTAATATAACTTTTGTCATGCATGAGTCCTTGGTTGTAACTTCCCCTATTTTGTTGTAAAAAAACCCTCTATGCCTTAGTTACTCGTATTTATTGAACGCATCAAAAGTTTGTAGCACGCAGAGTGCTTACACAGAGTAACTATGCAAAGTTGTGAACATACAGACAGATATCTCTGACAGAGGACATCATCAGTCGTATGTGCAAGAATCTTGAACTTCAGAGAATTGTTATCAAGGCTTGCTTTTAATTTCAATCTCTCTCTCTCTCTCTATATATATGTATGTATATAAAATACTTTTTATGCTCAAAAAATAATAATTATTCAGTAATTTTTATTTTTAAAAATACAAGTAGGGAGGATTGGAAGGAAAATAATTATTAAAAGAAATGACAATATTTTATTAAGATTTTTTGGTAATTATTTTTTTTTTCAGACCTCATAATTTTTTCATAGAAGTATTAGTCATTTTTTATGCTCTAAATATCATGTTAATTTTGTTTTCATTGTCTTTTAGTGTATGTCCGACGATGTTGAATCACGAGTGTTTGGAGTATTTCGTTATCCGTTTGTATCATATTATTATAGTTCACATATTTTTTTGAAAGATAAAATATTTTTTTGAAGGATAAAATGAATTGGAATTTTTTATTTAGAATTAAATAAACAGTCAAACTAGTTCTTATGTTAAGAATTGAAAGTAATAGTTCGGATATTCTTTTAAATATACTTTAATTGATTAGAATTTAATTGGTATTCCAGTTCTCTATCACGTATAGAGAATGGAATAATTTCTTTCCGCTGTTATTAAAGAAAACACATAGAGAGAGAGAGAGTGGAAACATGATCAGCTGGTGAACATTCAACATTTGATAGTTTTAATTTACTTCTGTAATCTATTCTTAATAACCAAAGGTTCTAAAATATCAAATAAATTTGAACATTTTTAAAATGCTTACAAGTCTTTCAAGACTGCATCACCTAAAACTCCTACATTTTCGAAGAGTTGAAAGAATTAGCTCACACACATACGAAATACTAATATTAAATGATGATCATCGCCCATCTTCAATCTCAAATGCTATTTCTCTCTGTATGCTATCATAGACAGCTGAAGTGCTAGCACTAGCATTTCCGTACCCATCAGTTACATGACCAAGCAAGTATTCACATTCCTCAGACATCACATCCTCTCGCTTTCCCCAAGGATGTTTTTTCATAGAAATTAGACCCTCTAGTTCCGTTGCTACTTCTTTCATAGTCGGCCTTTCCTCTCCATTAACCCTGATGCATTTCCTTGCCAAGAAAGCAACTTCTTTTAGCTGCTCTTCATTCTTCTGATCTAACACTCGCTTGTCAAGAATCTCCCACAAGTTGTCTTCTTTCAGTGAAGATGCAAAGTGCATAGCCAAATTTCTTTGCTCTGGTTTGTTGAAGTCAACTGCTTTATTTCCAGTAACTAGCTCCACAAGCACAACCCCAAAACTATAAACATCACTTTTCTCATTCAATTGACCCGTAAGGAGGTATTCTGGATCCAAATATCCTAACGTCCCTTGGACTACGGTGGTAACTTGAGTTTCATCAAGAGGAACAAGTCTTGAGGCTCCAAAATCAGAAACTTTTGCCCTATGATTGTGATCTAATAGAATGTTGGCAGATTTAATATCGCGATGAATAATTGGAATAGAAGCAGCAGAGTGTAAATATGAGATGGCTTCGGCTGTTTCTACAGCAACCCTTAATCTAATCTCCCATGAAAGAGGGTGCTCACTCTTTAGTGGGTCTATATGTTCAAGAAGGGTGCCATTGTCCACATACTCATAAACTAACAAAGGAACTTCCGTTTCAAGACAACACCCAAAAAGTTTGACCACATTCCTATGGTTAATTTGGGAAAGTACAGCCACTTCATTGATAAAATCCTTAATCTGTCTAGGATCCCCACCTATTCTGGACTTTTTGATGGCAACAAGCGTGTTATCTGGTAATATACCCTTATAAACTGTGCCTTGTCCTCCACGGCCAAGAATTCTACTTTCATCAAAGTTGTTTGTAGCAGTTCTAAGCTCATCTTCAGAAAAAATCTTGGATCTATCAGTATGTCCTTGTTGTTGATAAATTTGCTGCAGCATATAATTTCCTCCATTTTGCTCAAAATACTTCCTTCTAAGTTGCTTTAGTGATCTTTGCTTGTGTCCCCAGCATAATGTGGAGACAAATGTGAAGACAAAAAGGAAGGCAACAGAAATGCCTGCAAACAACGTTCAAAATATTATCCAGAGATAAACCATGGTTTTGGACGCTACATAATGCTAGTATCTCCCGGTCCCATATATTGTCTTGATTCTCTCTTGTTGTGGCTAGAGAGATAAAGACGCTGTGCGTGGTAATGCTTTCAATAAAAATAAACTAATCTCTAAAAATGGAAATGAGGCATGCAAATTAACCAATGTGGCATGACTGAAATAAATTGTTTGTTTGCGATTGACACATCTTAAAAAAGATAATGGCATGTCATTATAAAGCTGCTGATGTCACTGACTTTTGCGACATTATATTGCAGCTGCGAGGCCTGTTGGTTTTTATTTTCTTAATCCAAGGAATGGGATGACAAACTATTTCTAAATCTAAATCAATCGCCATCATATTAACACAGTTAGCTATATATATATGTATGTATATATGTATACACACATATAATTTCTTTAAAAATGAAGGATATTAATTACATGTAGGATCGATATGCTCAGATGAGTCGAACATGAAGTGCTAATTTATTAATTAGTATTCTCACCCAATGAGATTTCCATGAAAGGGAATTTGCAGCCGGATCCGTCGATATAGCCGTCGCCTCTGTAACCCGGCGGACAAGAACACGTATAATTTCCTTCCACATTGTGGCATCTCCTACTGCAGCGATGCTTCCCGTCATCGCACTCGTTAATATCTGCAAAATTAATCCTTAAGCTCATTATACATATCCATTATCTCTTAAGTACAGGGGCCATATCAAAATCGAAATCTGGTCCTAGATGTCATATCTCAAACAAACTTAGCGGAAGAGCTTGCCTATTATATCTCTTTGGCACTTAAAAGCAAAAACAAGTGAGAAGCAGCAGCGAAAAGAGCCAACAAAGCTGAATATAGCACACCCATATAGACAGATAGACAGATAAACGTTGATTGAAAGTTAAAAACAGAAGCTTTGCTCGGAAAGCTGAGGCATATATACCTTTGCAGCCTGCATCGAGGTCAGAGAGGTAGGGGTTGCCTCTGAAACCTTCTTTACAAACGCAGTAGTACCCCATGCCGCTTTCTGAGTTTCTGCATCTACTGTTTTGCTTGCAGGCATCGTCACATGTCTGCTTGGCAACAGCCCAATCTAGAACCAGGGGAAATCGTTTTTTCTCGAGATCAAGAAGATCTCGAGAGGGAGAGAAGTTGAAGAATCCTTCCTGGGCAACAAATGCATAGCCGCAGGGGTTGAAGTTATGCACGTCCGTGTAGTTGCTAAAACTCCTCAAGGTGATATTATAGCTCCTGATGGCTTCGGGGAAATTGGTCCGACAGCATCCCACACCAGAGCACGTCCCTGGTTTAAAGATCGTCTTGTTACTGCATCTCAACATGCAGCCAGTTCTAAAGCTGCTGTCCAGGTCGCTGATGAAAGCGTAGGTGTCACAGCCCACCACAGTGAATATGTTCCTGGTGTTTGATATAGAATAGTTCCTGAACCTTATTGCGTAGCGATCAGAACTAAAGGTTGAACGATAGCAATGCTTGGAGACTTTAGCCGTGACGGTCAATTCAGGAGGATCTAGGGAGATGTTGCGAACTGGTATTGTACTGCCTAGACGCAATTGTGTTGTGGGTTGTCCAGATGATGAGTCCGTGCTGGTTGTGCAGTTAAGGAGAAACTTTTCATTCATGGAGCAGTTCTTGCTAGCGCCAAAGGGATAGGGGATGCTCACGCCCCCACAAGTATCTTGGCAACCAGGTTTCGTTTGGGCCCCTGCCGCCACCGCCGTCGCCGTGCAGACCAGCAATGCCAGTTTAAAGTGCAGGGCACTCAAACCCATCTCGGAGATTTCTGATGTGGACATATATGCAGGAATAATTAAGAGCTAGGTAGGATGGTATTATATATACAACACGAAGCTTCGTTTGTAATGACGCACAAGGACGAAGGAAGGAGCTCGTAGATCGACGACTTGATCTTAATGTCTCTTTTTCCACAGCGTATATCCAAATCATTGGCGTAAAGGGTCTCGGTCTTCTCTCTCATAGCTCACTTCTGAAACTCCGGTCAAAATTAACGTGCGCTTCGTCGCTTCCTTTGTTTGATTTTTCTTTTGTTAATTTTTTCCACAAAAACTTTGTATATGGTCATAGGCCGGCAGCGGTGTGGGATTTCTCCACTCTCCACTTAGCTTCCAGTTAATTTCCCTCCACTTTACGTAAAGCGGCGCCTTTTTGCATTTCCCTCGTGGAAGACCATTGATGCAGAGATTTACTGATTTTTCATGCTTTATTTGGTGCTCGGTCTCACAGGTACTTTTTTTTTTTGGGTATAATAAAATTTATGTAAGTTGAGTTTTATGTCGGCTCATCGTTAAAGTATGCCTTCAAATTCAAAAAGTGTTTATAGAAGTATTTACATATTACTTATCAATAAGATCCTCGTATTAGTAGTGATGGCATTGTAGTTTATAAGGGGATTAGTGTTTGGATAGAAACCAAACCATAGTTTTAAAAGTGCTTTTACGATTTATATATGAAACGGATACATGGAGGAACTTGTTTTGTTTTGTAGAAAAAGTGCTTTTAAGAAGTGCTTTTAAAAAGTGTTTTTGGCAATAGCCAAATACCCCCTAAATCTTATTGGCTATTTTTATTCTTTTTCTCTGTCAAGTGTCATATCCATGTATTTGAATTTAAAAAGCTGGGACCTCATATAATATAGCTCAAAATGTTGATATCATTCTTCTAAGTTATGAAATTATGTATCGAAGTTTCGTAGTTGCATAATCTATTTCATGAACATATATTATCGTATGGGGTTTAAACAAACATTTTAAGCAACAAAATGCGGGAGTCTCTCAAACATGGCCTATAGATATTCAGGACTTGGGAGCCTAAGCTAAGCTAGAGAGTTAATTACAATATAAGATCACTAGAAGGCCACCTCTAAGTCGGCACGTTTGAGTGAAAGCCTGATCATTCAAGTACGCAAAGCTTCATCTGTAGTGACGCACAAGGGTGTTTGGAAATCTCCTTGAAAACCATTTTTACGCTTAATATATGGTAACATTTTCATTACATAGCAGTATTTGTTTAATACAGCATAAAATTACTTAAAATAGACTAGTCTAAAACCATACAACACGTGTCCAAATCATTTTCGCAGGATGACATCGAGCCATATGGACGCCATATGCACGAGGCCTTCTCTTCTTCCAAAATCACGCGTTTACTCTGTTTGCTTATCTCTCTCTCATACATACTATTTCTGTTTCTTAATATAAGAACTAATTAACTAATTTGACTAGATTAAAAAATTTTATTAGGTTAGTTATTTATAATAAATGAGTATTTTCTTTCCTAAAATACCCTTGCTAATCAAGTGTATTATTTTTAACATTTGATGAAACCGTTAACATATGTAACTATTATATTATATAGATTGCCTCAGAAAAAAATAAATAAATATGAGAGACAAAGTGAATTAGAATCTTATATTTAGAACCAAATTAAAATTCAAACTAGCGCTTATATTAAAGACCTGAGGTAGTATACATATATATATATACATACTTTTATTATAAGCATCTAGTACTTCTTCTTACTTTATGTAATTTCAACTGGTTGCAGCTTTTTTTCATCAAATAAGTAGATATACATGTATGTATATGTGTACATACAGTATTTATTCTATTTATGGGGATGGAGACCCGCTAATATTTGACACGTATCAAAGCAATGAAGCAGCTGGGGGTTGTGTTCAGCACCACCAAATTCAGACGAAGTCCGGCCCCTGCGTAAATTGACGCTGTTGTTTGCCTGTTCTATACATCTATATCTGTTTTTTTTTGCCTCCTCTATGTGTACAATTTAAATAATACATGCACGGACACAAACATGTTAATTAAAAGTATGTTTGAGTTTAAGACCTTATCCAAGCATAACATGCGGCGCTGCTACTAATTAAAACAACTTGTTGTTGATGGAACTCATTGATCTTTGTGTTATGTGCTTGAGGTTTGAAGCCATGATGCATGTGGCACCTTAATGCTCTTGTCCCTCTCTAGCTAGATCCATCCTATGATTTTACTGTTGGAATCATACAGATGATTAGTACATCTCTCTTTTTCTCCTCATTCCTATATATGGAGCATTTTGGACTTGCAAGGTACTGCTATTTTTTCTTCCCAATCTGCTTCTCCTCCTCTTTCCTTCTTCTAAACACTACTACAAAAAAATACATTTAACGGCAGTTAAAATAAGCTTTTTACGGCGGTTTTGAAACCAACGTCTATGCTATCGATGTAAAATGTAGAGGATTTCACGGCAGTTTAAGAACCGCCGTGATATGTGACTTTTCACGGCGGTTATATAAATAACCGCCGTGAAAATTTTTATTCCTTTAACCTACGTTTCACCCTACTGATTAGGAGGGAACGGGAGAACAAAACCTTAAAGGAAGTCTCTCGCTAGTTAAAAGCATTCTGATAGAGTAAATATAGATTCTTTCCCGCCGTCATAGCATCACTTAGCTTTACCTTTGGCCACCAAATCGAAGCAACTAAGATTTAATAAAGATAAAATCAAAGACTTAGATCTGCTAAAAATCATGTCTCTTTAAACTAAGATTAAACATCTTATTTTTAACCAAAGAAAATAATCATACCAAACCACAAAAACTGCGAAATCCACAGAAAGAATGGAGGTGAAAAACTCACAAATAAAAATGAAGAGGATGAGGCGATGGTGACGGAAACAGCAACAACGACAATGATGGAAGAATATGGCGGAAATGATAGAAGCAATAGATAAACACAGACAAATATAGGAGGAGGGAGAAAATTGAGTGAGGATGTGGTATGGGGGACTATGAGCTCTAACTCTAAAAAGTGAAAACTATCGCGCGATGGATTTTAAAATTCTGAAAAGTGAAAAATTAATTTTTAAAAATTAATTCCTTCCAACCGAATATGATCTTAATATAACTTTTGTCATGTATGAGTCCTCAGATGTAACTTTTCCTTTTATTTTGTTGTAAACAACTCTATATATGCCTTAATTATGCGTATGTATTATTGCACACACATCAAGTTTGTAGCATGGAGCTTACATAGAGTAACTATTTAAACAAGCAGATAAGACAGAACACATCGATTAATCGTATATACGTCCAAAAATCTTGAATGAACTTCAGAGAATTATTATCAGGGCAGAGAATTATTATCAGGGCTTTTTTATATATATATATATATATATATAATGTTTGTAATGCTCAAAAAAGTAATTATTATTCAGTAATTAATATTTTTTAAAGGTAAAAGTATTAGTCATTATTTTAACATGTAAACATTATGTTCTCTCTGTATAAAATAACCGGGACCTGGGGGGTGAGGAGAGAGACTCAAATCATTATCAACTCGTAGAACTTCGGGATTTGATAATGTTAACTTACTTTTATCCTTAATAACCGAACATTTTTAAAATCCCTACAAGTCCTTTCAAAACAACATAATTACCTGAAACTCCTACATTGGGACAGAGTGGAAAGAGTAGCAGCTAAAACACATGACAAATACTAACATTAAATGATCATCGCCCATCTGCAATCTCAAATTCCATTTGCTTCTGTATGCTATCATAGCCAGCTAAAGTGTTGGCACTAGCATTCCCATATCCACCATTATTTTCAACTGGAGTGCCAGCACTAGCATTCCCATACCTGCTAGCCACGTGACCAAGCAAATATTCACATACTTCAGACATCATATCCTCTCCCTTTACCCAAGGATGCTTTTTCACAGCAATTAGACCCTCTAATTCCATTGCTACTTCTTTCATAGTCGGTCTTTCCTCTCCATTAACTCTGATGCACCTCCTTGCCAAGAAAGCAACTTCCTTTAGTTGCTCTGCGTTCTTCACATCCAACACTCGCTTGTCGAGAATCTTCCACAAGTTGTCTTCCTTCATCAAAGATGTAAAGTGCATAGCTAAATTTCTCTCTTCTGGCCTATTGAATTCAACTGCTTTATTTCCAGTGATTAGCTCCACAAGCACAACTCCAAAGCTATAGACATCACTTTTCTCGTTCAATTGACCTGTGAGGAGGTACTCTGGATCCAAATACCCTAATGTCCCTTGAACCACAGTTGTAATTTGGGTTTCATCAAGAGGAACAAGTCTTGAGGCTCCAAAGTCAGAAACTTTTGCCCTATGATTGTGATCGAATAGTATGTTGGCAGATTTAATATCGCGATGAATAATTGGAATAGAAGCAGCAGAGTGTAAATATGAAATGGCCCCAGCTGTTTCTGCAG